GGGTGCGGGTCGGCAGGCACCTTCCCCTCAGCCTCGGGGGTTGTGGGCAGTGCTCTTATCGAATAACTGACGTAATCATTTAAAAAAATATAGTACTACTAATAAAAAACAATCAGAGAAAGTGCTGAGGTGCACTTCCGGGGGTGCCCCGGGCTGGGATTCCCTCAGGTACCAACCTAATCCCCACCACCTGCCTCCTGCTGCTGCTGCTGTGTGACCTGGGCGGAGAGAGCCCCGCTGTTCTCTCTGCTGGCCCGGGGCCACTGTTAGCCAGGATAGTGCTGTATTTAATTCTCAGCAGGGATCAGGAAAGACCCCAGGAAATCCCGTGAGGATTGCCTCTACAATAAAAGATGGCTGCCTGAGGATTGAAGGTGCCTTCTCGTTTACCTCACGTAACCCCGAGGTTAACAAAGGATTTAGTTTGATTAATGAAGAAATTACGTTGTGTTGGGGGATGGAAAGAGGATTAGAGCTTTTCTCCAGGGGAAGCGGAGTTGTAAGAGAGAAACTGAGACAAATGAAGTGAAGTAGAAAGACAAAAAAAGGGAAGCAAGGTGGCCATGTTTGTTACGAGCCTACAGCCCCACATTTTGAGGGCAACAACTTAACCAGAACTTTTTTGCCATTATGAAGGTGTAAGATTGGAGAAGCCCTCTCAGGAGAAAGGCAATCTCAGGCTAGTCATTTTTAATTTACAACAACCGGTGTCCCAGCTGAGTAACTCTTCATCATGTGCAGTTACTGCTCATAAAGCTTGTAGGCTGTTTGCTTCGGGGGGGATCTGTGGTCCTTCTTTAAAATTTCCTGTGCTGACCTGGCAAACAGGTGGAGCTGTGTTCCACCAAGTGACACACAACTCCTTCAAGTGCAGAGTTTTGTGTGTTTAGCTGCCTGCAGGCTGTGGAAAGAAGGGCTGCTGGCAAGGGAAAAAAAGAGGAACAGGAGCTGCTATGGCAGGGTTGTCACGGGTGGCTATGATGAACTGTTAAAAACATTTCACATGAGGAAAAGTGCAGGTCATGAAGGGAGGGGGGTCAGTGAAAACTGATGAAGGTTAAGAAATTGGACACCATCACTGAGGCTGTAGCAACAGGAATAAACAGTGTCTGTGAGAGCCAGATCTGAAATGGACAGCCCCAGTCTGCTTCAAAACAAGAATATAAATAAATAGTTCTGGCAGAGGAACAGAGGCAGCATACTACAGTGCCTGTTACCCAGCAAGCTGCTGCTTTGAAGCTTATATCAGCAAGCATCTGCTTCTCTGCTGTGAATGCCTCATTTTGCGCAAGGATAGCTTTTTATGCAGCAAGCAGTAACTAAGATTAAGGCAGCTTCTTAGAGAGGCAGAATGGGGTGTTTGCAGTTTTTCTCTTAGGTCTTCTGTGTTAGTACTTGGTTTTGATTCCTTGCACTGTCTTAATTTTCCATGATTGCTTTCTCTTTTTGAAAAGACACCTGAAAATTTGAAGCTTGAATTCAAGTGTCAAAATTGGTTAAAGGAGTGATTGGAGTAAGAGCAGCATTATCTGTCTGGGGTCTTGATACTTACATGGTCTGCTATTCTTGCCTTTGCTGGACTTGCCTCTGCAGACTGTCCATTTGAAGTTCACCAGACAAGTGTCCTGTAGGATGTCTAGTCATTATTTTAAATTTGTAAATTCAAATAAGTCCTGAGAACTTTAACAGAACAGCCAATGTCCTAGTGCTTTCATATGTCAAAGGTCTAGGTAGGAGTTATAAAATACGCTTAATTATTTTCTTTCTAAAGAACCTTTTACTGTTGTTGAATGATGTTGAGCAATCCTAGAGTCAGAAGTTATTTTCTCATAATGCCTAGAACAATAAGCTATAAATTAGCTGTTACCCCTCAGGAAAGAGACAAAGAGATGGGCAGAAGTGCTACTAGAGGAACTAAGGAAAACCAGTTAGCTTTGTGATGCCTCTCAGTAAGTTAATCTTGAGTACACAGTTCTGGTGATCCCTTCACAAGAACAGCACAATATGCTAAAATAGGAACAGAGAATGGCAGCCAGCATGGTCAGCAGTATTGACTGGTTTCCATGTGAGGTAAAAACTAAAGATACTAGGACTATTTAGTATGGGGAAGAAACAGCTGTGGAGGATATACAAGAACTCAGTGAAGTAAGGAGTGGAATGGAAAAGGGAGGAACTGAGAAGTGGCTGTTGATTGTCTCTCACAAAACAAGAAGTAGGAAGCACTGAATGTAATTATCAGGCAAAGGTCGTAGTTTTTATGCAACGTATAATTCATCTTTGGAATTTATTGCTATGGGATATTGGAGAGGCTAAAGGTGTGAAAGATTAAAAAAACTGCAAGGCAAGTTTTTTGTCCATGAGTGGCTACTTCTCACAGTTGGAGATTTTGTCTTTAAAGGTCT